TCATCAGAGCTCCTAATGCAGGACCAGGTACCTAGAGGAAATAGCGTGGAGTACTTTCCATGGCTCTTTTCTGCTCTTGCTAGACAGAGGATATTTTTGCCAGCTTGACTCAAATCACTAAACTTATTAGAAAAAAAAAAATTACAGATAATATTGTTGATCAGCGACAGACTGGGTTTGTTTCAACAGAGAAATCAGAGCTGCTGGTGAGGAATTCCAGCAACTTGGCCCGATCAAACTGCAACTCACTTGAGGAAGGAAAAACCTGAAAAATAAAACCATGACCTTACAATTTCTCTACATACCATCAGGCTCTGAGTTGGATCACCTAAAAGCTCTGCTAGAGCTTCTTTACTCTTCTGTATCATGGCACAGGAGTGTTATATAATTGCAGTTGTAAAAGAAGTTATCCACTGGGCTGTATGTGGGAGGGAAAGCAGTACACGACACACTGGATTAAACTGTGCAGAATGGGCCAAAAGCAGTTATTTAGAAACATTCTTTGGCACTGCCTTTCCTTCATACATCCTGCCCACAGCAGGGTTATCGGACTGAAAACAGGACCTTGGGGCACTTTTTTCCTACTGTTTTATTTCTGTCATCTCTTGACTTACTGGACTTCAGATGTTATGATTTTTCCTTTGAAGGTAATAACAGTATCAATAGCAAGAGGTTCAATACTGGACTGCTAATCAAAAATCCATGATGATCCCTGATTTAACATATACCATCTGTCAGTGGCAGATAAACATTCAGATCATATATCTGACTTTGATGTTCTTTGTAGCTGTTTTACTGTAAGTGATAATCTAAGGCCTGACAATGCTTAATGTAAATTTTACCAGCCGGCTCTGAGGCCTCTCCAGGCCATGGTAGCATTTAATTGTTGGAAGAAACAAATGCATTTCATTATCTTACTTCTCTCTAGGTTATGGTGACATTCATCACACAGTACTGCTGACTGCAGAAGTTGGATGTGCTTCATAATACCCCCTCTCCCCCACTTAATCTGCTCAAAGCCTGCAAAGAACATATCTTTATGGTGTTTTCAAATTACCTGTCAATTGGAAATTAAGCTTAATCAGCAAATCTGAAGTCACAGCAAACACTGCAGCGTTTACGTTGGCAAGAGGCCCAGGTATTAATCAAGGTTAGTAGTTCTTCCACAGACCAGCAGACACTCATGTGGCAGAATAAAGCAAAGCCTCTTTAGGCACCTGAGGTGATCAGAGGAAGTGATCCAGACTGCTATAGTATATATTCCCTGTGTCCTGAGAGACAAGTCAGTCGTTGGGCTACGCCTGTACATTATCTATGGGATCCTGGCCAAAACTGGGAGTTTCCCGCTGCTACCACAGCAACAGTCAGGAACAAGAGGGCAATGCCGAGACTGGAAAGATGGGAAGAGTAAAGCCAACATAAGAAAATCAGAGGCAGCATGAGCTCCACATAATGCACAACAGATAGAGAGATGGATAAAACATAAGCCCTGTGTGTATATACGCAGAGATATTCACAGTTCTTTGCATCAAAGCTTTCCCAAGTTCAAGCCTTTGCGCCAGCTTTGGCTGATTCTCAGGATTCAGCTCCCGGACAACTGCAAAAACAGTGTCCAAGCTGCTGGCCCAGGGCCACGTGAAGGTAATTCAGCACAATCCTCCATCATTTCAAACTAAGCTAAACTGAATTATCCCACATTTGCTAGGGAGTAAGGGTGTACACAAAGACCGTTTCCATGGCTCAGCTGCCACAAGGGAATTTCTTAAGTAAGTTGACTGAATCTGAGCCCTCAGACCCAGAGCCAACCAACGTCTATTTTTGCAAACAAATGTTATGGAGTGGTCTGGGGAAAGCTGGACATTTTTATACCCTTTACTGCCAAATATTTACTATCAGTTCAGTAAAGCAGAGATAGATGAGCTACTCCTATCTCAGCCCAGCAGTTCAGACCACTCACCAGGAGAGTTAGAACAGATCTCCTTCCTTCACAGAGCCCACATATTTCACTCCTGTGTGTCACCTGTAACCTGCAGAATGAACAAAAAAGATTCATCACATGAGAAACTGTGATGAAAAAACTATCTGAATAAAATAGTTGGGTCCAAACAATTGTTTTATCCATTGTATTCCCACAATGCTGATGTGCAACAGGAGTTTTGTGCAAACACTTTTATCTTCCTTAGACAAAAGCAGTTTTTCCTTTTATGCAAATAAATTGAATTGTCTCCTTTTTTTTTCTTATTTTTTCACAAGGCCTCTTTGGTTATTTCTCTCCTTTCCATATGTACAAGCACTCTAATTTTACTTTGGCTTTTAAAAAGCAAAGTGTTTCATTCCAATTAGAATCAGTACATCACTTTTGATTCCAGGCAACCCGCCTGATTTTACAACTTCAGGCAAAGACTGTTCTCACATTTGGACCTCTTCAAAGAATTGTGATCTTAGATCTTATCGGCACTGAAATGCTAAACTGCTCCCCCAAAACTTGGGTATTTGCTGTTTAAATAAGATCTATTCCCAAAAATTAATTCTGAGTACGAAACCCAGATGTGGGATTAATGTCTGAACAAACAGTCATCAGAAGTGTAATAAAAGAGCAAATGCTTCCTTAAACTCCTCTGACAGGTAAAACTCAGTTTTCTTTGCTGCACATGCAGTTTGCATGCTGCACTTGCTGTTTGCAACAATTTAGCTCAGAGCTCAAATAAAAAGCCACGATAAACTGCTAGTAATTCTGTTCCTCATTCTCACAGAAGATGCCTTTATCGCCCTCTAACACCCAGACACTCCTAACACCCAGTCACTGATGCAGCGATGGGAGGGGACAGTAACTTGGAGATCACACTCCCTCTAGCAGAGGAGATCTCAGTGCACCTACAAGGAGATGGATTCTGTTCACTAGCAGAGTAAGCAGAAAGCACATGGATTATGGGCTCAGCATGCATAAATCTGCTATCAGACCTGTTCTTTACCACCTAGGTGGTCCCAAATGTTTGCTGGTTTTACTTCTAGAGAGATTTTTAAGCTGCACCCTCCTTGAAGTTTGAATGTTGAAGTCCCTCAGCTGTAAAAGGGCTGCTCACCACCAGCATCCACCATCCACAATTCATGTCTTTCCCTCATGCTGAGGAGTCCCTGGATGCGATGCTTGGAGGGCAGCCGAGAAGATTAGCTCATGGCAAGGCACAGTTTCATTAAACAACAGACAATTCACAACTTCTAGGACATAGCAAAGCAACATTTTCAAATCAAAATAGTTAATTTTCAAGCCATGAGGTAATTTAATGAAAGATTGGTATTTTTCTCATGAAAAACCGACATTTTAGCTACAACAGCTTTTTTTTTCCCATTGTAAAAGAAGGAACCAAAACATCATAGTTGGCCTTATTACTTAAGAACTGCCCTGCTTCCTGATAAGGACAGTCATAAAGCACTGGGACTGTGCAGGATGAACTTCCCCAGCTAACCCCATCCCTGGAATCTGGCATTTAAGGGCTTCCAAGGCCAGGTACCACATCACAGGACAGGTGTCAATGGGCTACACGCCCATAGCATGGCAAACTGCAGAGGTCAATAAAGCTAAGACTATCCCAGGGAGGCAAGAAACTGGAATCCTTTATTGGACTTACAAGTTAATTTTTAAAGGGTTTAGGGTCTACTATTCAACAGGGGGTTGTAACTATTACAAACAGGGGGTTTCAGGGGATGACATAAGGGAAAAATCCAGATTAACAGATTTGGGGGCTTAACCTCATGGGGGAAAATCCACTTTATTTCAGGGGATTTTACAGGAGGGAGCAGGTATTCTGGTCTACAGAATGCAAGGATTCAGAGAGCACAAAGGGACAGATAAGGTACAGTAGGTCTTCTGCACAGGTTTGATGAGATGAGGGTGGGGACTCTTCAGCTAGGGCAGGGCATGCGATCACATCATGCAAGGAGTCTTTTCACATCCTGCTGCAGGAAAAAAATCCACAGGGATGAGGTCAATGATGAGGGGTTTTCGCAGCTTCTGTAGCCCATGGCCTTTTGCAAAGACCACTCAAATCTCTCTCTGCAGATACTACATTTTGGGATACAACGGCAAACCCCACCCTAATTGATTTGATCCTGTGGCAATAATCACTAAAATATCCTAGGCAATAACATTTCCTTTCATTTGCCTCTTATCTGCCTCTTGATCCTGTCATTTAGGCCTCATGCCATGAGAAGCCATTTTCCCCCCTGTACTTGGCACTGGTGAGGTCACACCTCAAGTGGGGTGTCCGGTTCTGGACCCCTCAATTTAGGAAAGATAATTGAGGTGCTGGAGTGCATCCAGAGAAGGGCAACGGAGCTGAGAAAGGGTTTGGAATGCATGTCCTGCGAGGATCGGTTGAGGGACCTGGGGGTGTTTAGCCTGGAAAAAACGAGGTTCAGGGGTGATCCTATAGCTCTCCACAGCTCTATGGAAGGAGGCTGTTGTCAGGTGGGGATGTGGCTCTTCTCACAGGCAAGCAGCAACAGGACGAGAGAAAAGGGCCTCAGGTTGCACGAGGGGAGATTTAGGTTGGACATTAGGAGGAATTTCTTCCCAGAAGGAGTGATTAGACATTGGATTGGGCTGCCCAGGGAGGTGGTGGAGCCACCCTCCCTGGAGGTGTTCAAGGAAAGACTGGACGTGGCACTCAGTGCCCTGGTCTGGTTGACAAGGTAGTGTTCGGTCACAGGTTGGAGTCGATGATCTCAGAGGTCTTTTCCAGCCTGACTGATTCCGTGATTTTGTGATTCATCATCCCTCTTGCTGCCGTTGTCTGATTCCTCATCTCCTCCAACCTTCCTCCTTCCGCGGACCCGCAGGACTTTACCCCCTGGCGGGGCAATGCCCCCCACACGACTTTGCTGCTCCCGTTCCTGCCGGGCTGGCGAATTTCCTGGCTCCGCACGGCGGTAACCCGGGAGGGATGATGTGTAGGGAAGCAAGCGCTTCGTACCCAAGGGCGGCGAGGAGCGGGGCTGGGAAATCCCCTCGGCGTCGGAGAAGGAGGAGGCGGAGGCGGGGACGGGGACAGCGGGGCGGGCAGCCGCTCAGTCAGCTGAGGCGGGCCGAGCCGCCGCCGCCGCCATGGGCGCGCCGTGAGGGGTGAGCGGGCAGAGCGTTCCCCGAGGCCAGCCCGGAGCGGGGGGGACGGCGGTGGCCGTTACCGGGCTCGCCTGATGGCTCGGCGGATCGGGGGTGGGCCTGCGAGAAGGGAGGGAGGAAGGAAGGAAGGAAGGGCAAGCGGGAAAACGCGGGCTTGCGGCTCCCGGAGGCCGAACCCGCACGGGGACGGAGCGGCCGTGCCCGGGCAGCGGCGGGGGCGGGCGCCGCAGCCTCCCGGGAACCCCGCCGAGGTTATGCCAGAGAAGGGGAAAGGGGGACGAGGAAGCGAAAATGAAAGTTAAAAATCAGTGGAAATGGGATGTGGGCGTGAAAGGCAGTGCCGGGGCGCTGTCAGGGCCGTGCGGGCGGCGGGGAGGGAAAGGGTGAGACAGGAGGTCTCGTTTCGTTCTCAGAGGAACGGGCTCCCGAGGGAGGGTTGTTGGCCCGAGAGCAGTCTTGGGGGTCCTGTGTTTTAGCCCCGTGGGAGATTAATGTTTTATGGACGCTCGTGGATACTCTGGAGGTCAGAGAGACTGAAGGTGCCTGGGTGCTGTGACAAGACACGAGGCCTGCTTGTCATAGTACAGTGAATGCATGATTATACTTTCTTCATAATTGAGCAAGAAATTGAGATTTTTCTCTTTGCAAACCTTGTAGTAGCTGCTTCAGAGATGTCCGGCAACTTGAAGGGCCGTCCTGCTGAAAATGGAGAGCATCCCAAGGGTAAAATGGAAAACGGAGTGGACAGTAGGGCTGCTCCTGCCCTTGGTACCTACTCCCCCGAGGAGATGCTACAGCAGATGAAGGAACTAATCACTGAGAACAATGAGTTAAAAGGTGAAGGCACATGTGAGCTGGTCTTGAAATACAAAAGCCCCAAGTCTCATCTGAAGGGTTGTTTGTTTTGTGCAATGAATTCTGTACTCATTTGGCTGGGTGACATTTTATCCCTGGGTAGTATTCGCTGTATAAAGGACTCTGCAAGGGGCCAGTTTGATGGGGCACATAAATAAGATGATGGATAGGACATACCAGATTGAATTGGTATGGAAGACTAGGGGGAGAACAGCCCAATTACTTGCTTTAGAATTTTTATTTATATATATATATATATATATATATATAAAATTATATATAAATATATATATTATAAATACATATTTATATTATTTATATTATATTTATAATATATATGTTTTATATATATAAAATATATATATGTATATATATACGCACACAGTATAGCGTGTATTTTAGGAGGTGAGATGAGGTGAAAAATCTCTTCCTATGATATGCTTTTTGCTCATCAACCTCTAAAAGCTTTTTTGGTTTGTATGATAGGACTGTTGGCTCCATTACAGACTAACATTTTGCCATGGCTGCATCAGGAGGGGGAGTACTGCACCTTCTGTGCTTCGAAGGGAAGTGATAGCTGTGGCAGGGTCTATCTGGGAGAAACTAATAGCTTCCCCTGATAATTCCCAATAATGTGAGTCTTTCAGGTGAGATAGATTTGTTTCTGGATCCTAGGAATTTAGGTGTCAGATATTTCTTCCTTTAAATGATTAGAATAAAACCTAAGGGATCTGGGAGTTTTCTGTGTGAAAGACAGAGGTATCTCACTGTTTATATGACAGCAGAGCATGAAGTCACGGATCTCCTGTGTTCTGATTTTATATTAGTGTTTAAATTCCGCCTGAATCATTTTCGGACCTGGTCCAAGTTCTCTGTCTCATGAATATCTAGGAGGAAAGTTTTTTCTAGAAGTACCTCTGGTATTTTGCTAAAAGGTTCTGCATCATATAAGATAATGTTCTGGGACATATTTACAGCTGCTGTAACTCATAACTTGCAGAATCCTTCTCCAGACTACATTTATTTACATAACCTGAAGGATTTGTGGGCAGTTTATAATACGACGTCAGGACATAATGGAAGTTACCGGAAAATATAAAATATTTTTAAGCAATCAACTTTGAGTTGTTTGCTTTAAAAAAAAAAAGCAAGTCTGAAATAATTTCATTGACTGCCTCAAAATCTTGTAAGCCTGTTGTAATAGCAAGACTGATGTTACTCACTGACTTTGTTACATATGAGAAAATAACTTGGCTCTAAGTTGTTTGGTGTATTTTTTCAATGCTTGCAATCAAGTCGTAACCAAATGTTCGAGTAGAGCGTTGTTGGGCATATTTGAGACATTTGGTTTGATAGCATCTGTTTCCATGCAGTAATTTACCAGTCTAGGCTGCCTGTTTTCCCTGCCAAGTCTCAGTAGTTTCAGGAACTCAGTTCAGCAGCTTCATTTGGGTTGATCGTGTAAATAACACACTCAGCAGGATACCAAGTACCTCTTGTGGACAGTGCTTCTGACTTGTACTTCTTGGCTTAGGGAACAGTCAAGAAGTCAGAGAGTGTGGGCATATGATTTCAAGAGAGGATTTAACGCTATTTATTATAGTGCTAAGGGACTATGGGACGCTTAGTTTTGGTTTGGTATTCAAGGTATGCAAGGAGGAGGTTCACGTTTCATACCCAGTTATTGCCAACCCATTTGATACTGAGGAGTGCTGAGCTCAGTGTGGTGGAAATCTGCTGTTTCACGGGCAGAGTATTAATGTGAATCAATGTCTTGTCTCTGGCTACCATTTAGAAGCCATGAAGTTGCATAACCAAGCTATGAAGGACCGATACGAGGAACTTTCCATCTGGAGAGAGAAGCAGAAGGAAGAACGAGAATTTTATGAGTCGAAGTTTAAGGAGGCGAAGCAGTGCTTGCAGGCCAAGTGCGCTGAAAATGAACAGCTACAGCAACAACTTCAGAGCTTGAAGGGAAGAGAAGAAGGAGCTGAAATGGTGAATAAGGAATTGGTTGGATTGACATGCTTTTGAACTGAAAGTCTGGAGCATTCACTCTCTTTTATGATTCATCTCACTGGGAGGCTTGGAAATTGGTTAACATCTCCATTTTTATCCTTAGCTCTAACTTATTTTATAATGTGAAGCCTCTCAGAGCGTAGTAACAGAAAATTATGCCACACCTGAGATAATTTACATTTTCATTAGCATTTAATAACAATAATAATTAGCATTCTTGACATAAGGAAAAAGAAATTAGCATTCCTTGCTAATTTTTCATTCTTTATTTTGTTTACTCTTGGATATCTCTTGACTTTATCCCTCCCTTCGCTCGTTAGATTATGTGTCTCATGATCATTTGATTGCTTTTTGTATTTGTGTTTCCAGGGAGAAGTTGACAAGTAAACAAAATAATGACATGCCATCTATTTTTATTATATCAGTCTTCTTTTATGGAATCTCACTGAGCTCAGATTAGATCTGTGCTTCTGCTGCCCCATTTGAGTCTGACTGAGCTTCCTCCCTCTCTCTGACCTTTGGCTCTGTAACACATCATTTCTAATGCTGCAGGTGGTTGTGTTGCAGCCAGGAAACATTTTGCAGGTGGTGCTGAAGGCGTCTGTGGGCAAAGCCTATTTAAACAAAGCCTGCTTTTTGTCCCACATGGTCACGTGAGAAGTTATTTAATAAGAAGTTCCACACAGAGACAAACTGACGTGTCCTGGTACCTCCAGGAGCCATGTGGATTCTGTGTTGCTTGATGAAGGATGAGTGTATTAGGCTTTTTCTTAACGAAGTCACTATTAGACTCTCTTTTCCTGTCCCAACTTTTTTATGGAGCTCTGTAAGAAATGTTTCAGCATGTAATTCAAAATTGGCCAATGAGCTCAGAAGTTGCAAGGCGGGGAGAAAGTCGTGTTTAAATAGTGTGATTGTGTAAGTATCACTTGCACAACCTTTACAGGCTGAAGGTTGTGTTTCAGGATTGTCAGGTAAACTCAGGATTTCATAAATCTGGAATATGCTTTTAAGAGGAAATAGGGGATTTATTCTCCTTTTATCTGTTGTAGAACTTGTTCTCTGAATACTAAAAGCATGTTATTCCAACCTGCTTGATTAATCTAACATCTCTCTCCTTCACTGGAACTGACTCTTGATTGAATCCTCTTACAGCATAAGCACAAAATTATAGGCAGCAGCAAGTCAGGAGGTAGGGTGAGCATAGAGAGTCTGGAGATTTGGCATAATCATAGGTGAGAAGGCAATTCAGACTCCAGGAATTGTCCAGAATTTACACGGATGGTATGTGGTGTAACAAAGGTGTTATCAGGAGGTAGAAGGCTCAGATTACAGAAATGAGACAAAAAAACTTACAGGGAAAGTTACATAATGGGGAGAGGCATTTAAAAGAGAGGAAAAAAATTAGTCTTGCTGGTTATGTAGAGGTTTAAATAAAGGTTTTGAGAATCCTGGGGAAAGGGAAGAGAAAGAAGATGAAGGAGACAGTCATGAGTGGAAAGAGCAATTAAGTTTGGGGAGAATCTCTGAGGAAGAGAGACTTTATGGAAGGGATCCAGGACTTTGTGTGAAGGTCAGGGAGAGATGGGGTACAGAGAAGTTGTATGATGGGGAAAGACTGAAAATGGTGTGTGTATATGTAAAGCTCCTGGCCCTCAGGTCTTTTCTCCCTAGAATCTTGGTTAGATCTAGGAGAAGAGTAATAAGGATGCGGGTGAAAAAAATACAGCAGTTCTGGACAATAATTCTGTATATTGGCTGATACCTTACGTGGTAGTGAGAGGCATAGATTTAGGGAAAAAATTACATCCTAATTATCTGCATTTGGACAATCAGTCTCATGTTTTGCAGAAGCACAATACCCAGTGTTGGATTAATTTGTTTTCACAATTTAGACTTCCCGCTGTTTGGAGAACCAAAACATGTGTACAATGGGCTTTTCCAGGCAAGCCTAAACAGAGAAGGAGGGATACAGGGCACTGTTGTGTTCAGACTCTGTGCTGCTTGGCTGTTGTTCCATTTTGGTTGGCTGATGCAGGGTTTGTTTATCCAGGAGGGCTGCGTGGCTCTCGAGAAGGAAGTGAGGAACCTGAAATCCCAGGTGCAGCGGCTCCAGGCTGAGAAGGCAGATCTGGTTGCCATCATTTCAGAACTGCAAGTGAAGCTGAGCATGTCAGCAGAGGATTCCTTTGTGGAGATTGGGATGCACGTAAGTAAAGGGGATAAAAGGAACACAGTAACCTGCAGCCAGGTACCAACCTAAACGATTCCGTGATTCCTTGGTTTCTTAGATTGCCTGCCATGGGACACTTGTGTACTACAAGATGTAGTGATAAAGGACTTGGAACTTACTTTTGTCCTTTATTGCTCAAAGTAAATTATTTTCATAGGGAGCCTCTATTGCACTAAAAATATTCTCTGGAAAAAACAACATGGTCCATCAGATGGCTTCAGACTAGTTAAGAATGTTAGGTCTCGTCTTAGTTGGAATTTCTGGGAACATCAAGACTGTGTTTTGTTAAGGGGCAATACCTTTGCTTAGACAGGGGCATTTTCTTCTGAGAATGGAGCTCTCTTTCTGCTGGCAGACATGTAGGGATGGAGGTAAACAAAACTAAGTGCAAAACTGTAGAGGCACAAAACCCACTTTTTCTACTATTGTGTCTGAAAAATCTTCACAGGCAAACTGTGAAATGTGAAAATGCAAGCTTCTGCTATCCCTATAACCCCCACATCCCCTTTCTGGAAAGGAGGCATGCAACACAAAATTAAAAGAATTTAATTAAAATTTGTTTGGAGTTGTCAGAGAAAACTTCCGACTGCAGGAAACCTTCAGGGATGTTTGGTTTTTGTTTTTTGTTTTTTTTTTGCTAGAAGAATTCTCCTTTGGGCTACAAAGAGGAAGGAGTGAGTTTTGTAGTGGGAAAGAAGAGTGGTTCTTGTAGGAGGCAGCAGAATGATTTTTAGGCTTAGATTTAAATCCCCTGCATTTAAATCAACCTGATGTTGGTTGTGTGGTGCCCAGTCATCTTTATAAGGGAGAGTGGTCATGGAAGTTGCTGATGAAAGGAGAAGGGCAAATCTCATTATTGTGCCTCTTCTCTAATCAGTCCAGAAGAGATAAAGGGAAAGGCATGTGAAGTATTTCAAGTGAAGAATTTCCAAACATGAAGATGATCTGTAGGAGTTTTGGGTTTTTTTTTAATCTATATTGCTATGATAGTAGTTTTCCCTGGTTTTTTTCCTTCCTTAACTCAAACAAATGAAACACTGCCCTGCTTAGTCCAAATACCAAGCTAATAATGTTTTTTTCTTTCCTAGGAAGGAGAAATAAATAGAACTGCAAAGGAACATCAAGAGAATAGTGGTGAAACGACCGGGAATGTTGCTGTCTACATGTACGTAGGACCCTGTGTGATGTGTGTGATTCAGAATTCTCTAATATGTTTTATTTTCAGTGTGAGGGAACTTTTTTCTATGAGGAATGCACTAGAATATTCAATTTTTCTGTGGTTTTGCATCTTCCATTGCAGTAGTCTTCCTGCCGTGTTGGAAAGACCCTCAATTCTGTGACATTTTTCCTCCCAACTTTCACCAGCTGACAAGAGGGAGTGTACATTCTGGCCAGTTGGCCAGGCATTTACGGACATGCTGACTTGCCAACTCTTTGGGCCTTTTAGGAAGGCCAAACAGAAAACATAGAGAGAGGCTGCAGGGACTCTCTCCCTCCTATCCTTTGGAGACCATCTGAGAGTATCTGTGCTCTACCCAATTATTCTGATGTTGGTAAGAGTCAGAGGTCTTGCAGTCTTTCAGATCTGAACCTGTCTGTCCTGTTTGTGTGTGCTTAGTATGAACTGTATCACGATGGGGTAGGCTGGCAGTGCGATAGTCACTGCTTTTCAGATTACTGGGCTTAGGATACCAGCATTCTGTTTAGGTTACTTATCAAAATTTGATCTTTACATCAGCTCCAGGAAACAAGGGACTTTCTTGCCCCTGGCTGAACCTTTACTCCTTGTGGCCATAGACATCTGATACTGTTAAACTTTCCATCTTGGATATTGCCCAGTTTAGCAGCCAAATGGTTTTGGCTGAACTCTCGGACTTACTCTGTGCCTTTGCTTTTGAAAGGGAAGGATATGGAAAGCTCTGAGGACACAGCAGGCCAGAAAGCTGTGCTCCATGCACAAGTTGTCACTCCTTACATCAGCAAGGAAGAACAGTGTAATGACATAGAAATTTGGCCCTCAGCATGTAGTTAAGAAGTTGAAGGGGGAGGGGGAAAAAAAAGGTGTTACAGTTGTGGCTGAAACTGAGAGAGCTGCTGACCACAGACCAGACTGCAAGTATGAAGCTTGTTGTTAGTGGTGGCTTGCGAGAACACTTATTATGAGAAGACATTTCCTGCAGGACTTGCTTACCTTTGGATGAGAATCTGACCCATATCTACAAGAACAGGGGGTATACATACCTCTTAAAATATTTCCAGTGTCACCACGTGTCTTTGTCCAGCTCTGAAACCTTAGACTGGTGCTGTTAACACCTTCAGAGAAATGTGATCCACCCAGGACGGGTTTATTTCTGTAAGAGTAGAACTGCACTAAAAATCCCCTGATAAAAGTTATTTACTTAAAATATCCTGGCTGAACACTTTCTTTGGGGTATTGAATTTTGCTCACCAAAGATTTCCAGCTCTCAGGAGCACAGAGAAGACTCTGCTTTGCTTTCTGTTGTGAACTACAAAAGCAAAGTGTTAACCACATGCCGTTTTACAGCTGAGCTGCTAAAATGTACAGAGTGAATATCCTACCTATCTTACCATATAGTTGGGGGATTTTGACTTTCTGTCAGAATGGACATAAAAATGGAGGTAATAGTGTTTTATCAGTTACCCTATTTTTCAGAGTTCTGGGTTTGCTCTGGTTCACTTTACAGTAGCATAATGTAATTTTGCAAAGAGCTATAGGATGTGAGGGAAGTGAAACAGTAAAGACATTTTTTTCTGAGAAAGTGATGACCATTTTTAGTGGAAGATGCTTTCTTTTTCTGAAAAGGAGTGAGACAGAGATAAGAAACCTTCCATGTTTTATTGGGAAAAAATGTTATTTCTAGGAACAGACAGCGGCACTTTGCAGAAAGGGCTGCAAAATAGGTCAGAATAAGTGCATTGGGGTTTGTATTGTCGTGACTGCTTTTGCTTTCCTTGCTTAAGGACTAAATTGTTCCCTCAGCTGGAGGGCAACTGTCTGAGTCCTTTATTTGCACACACAGGGGCTGTGGCTGGTGGTCTTGGTTCTTGGGAATTGGGAATGAGCCCTTTCCTCAGAGCACTGGTTTTCATCACTGTGAAATGATGACATCTCAGATCGGATCCCAGGGATAAATGAATGCTCTGGTAAAGTTGTGGCTGTTGTTATTTACATCTGGTTTTATTTGAAGCAGGAGCAGATCTGCAGACGAATCTAAGAACTTGGAGTCTGAGGAGCTAACTGTGAGCCAGCTGCTGTGCTCCCTTAGAAATGAAACTCAGAAGAGGGATAAACTTGAGAAGGAGCTGCAGGATCACAGAGAGAGGTATGAAGTAGGTGCACTGTAACATTTAAAGCTGTTTTCTTTCAGGGCTGCTGCAGTTACCAAGCCTCTGGCTGATCAAAGTTTAAATAAGTGTGACTTGGATGGGGAATTTCCTGAGCACTCAGCAGTAATAACTTAATATTGTGGTAGTTCTTATAGAGATAAACCACAGGCTCTCTTCCATGAGCGAAAGAATTTCTGTTTTATTTTTATTTCCTATAGTATCACAGTTCCAAAAAAATTTACTTATTGCCTCTTGAGTTTGAACTTTCCCCAGGTTATGTCAGAATTATATGATGACTAGTTGAGGATGTTCTCTCCACATTTCTCCGTAGTTATCTGGTTTTGTATGAATCATCACTATAACTAAAACAGGGATCACAGTCCTTTTCGTGATACTGGCAGGCTACATTTAGCAGTGTGTGAGCTTGCAAAAGCTCCTTAGAAATGTCTATAAGTAAGTTTAATTCCAAACTTGTTTAAGGGAGAAAGTTTTCCCAGTGAGATCTGCATGAGGGTCTGTCTCAGCTCAGTTATATCAGCACGACTGCTCAGGGGTGGCAAATTGCCCAGGCAGTAGCTGTTCCAGATCTCCACTTCACAGAGACAGACTTCCTGGACATTATCTACTATGAAAGGTCGGTGTCACAGTAATTGATTCTACGTGGTCTTCCTAGAAGAGGTAATGAGCCATAACCAGGCGATTCTTAGAAACCTCAGCCTATGAAAATACCACAGGAAAACAGAGGCAATGTTAATCACTGGATTCGGCAAAAAGGCTGAATCCAGTCCAGGAAACCCATTTCCAAAGGGTTGGCAGTTTTGGACTGTACCAAAGATTGATCCCTTTGGACAGAATGTCAGTGCCCTTCACCACACCTGCAGACTTACACATCCATTTTGATTAACTGTACATGCTCAGTGTCCTGTGTTCCTCAGGAACACCCATGGTTGTGCAAACTTTCCTGCATGTCTGTGCTTTCCATTCTACCTCGCATCTGTAGCTGTGATGTTAGAAAGAGTGTGCATCACATGCATGAAATCCTTGAATAGTGACAATCTCGCCTTAAACATAGGCCAAATCCATCATTGTTGACTTCTGTTTTCCAGACTGTCAAAGCTGGAGAAGAAAATCAGCAACTGCCTGGAGAGTGGGACACAAACCGAACAGGAGGAAGAGACTTCAGAGGCTGTAAGTACCTGTCCTCCTGAGCCACGATTTAACAACGTGCAGCTGACTTGCTGAGGTCACCAACCTCATGGCCTAGATTTCCACTTGCATTCAGGGAGCAAGGGGCAATTATCCTGCACAGGGAATGGAAGTGAACTTCGAGCTCTCCGATATGTAGCTTAGAGTTGCTTCCAAATTACACCAGCCAGAGGGGTGAGATTGATGGCCAAGAATGAGGGAGGCATGGCGTAACTGCAGGTACACTTCATTACCCTGGCCAGGCCCAGCAAACAGAGAGGGGTGCAGACACTTCTAGCTCCAGAAATCATCCAGATTGGGTGAATTTCTTGGCTGCTGCCTGGGTCAGCTTTTGGATCAGCGTACTTTAAAACAGACTTTAAATATGGAGCTCACATGGCACCTGGTTTAGGGTTTTTTGTGTTATTAGTGGCATGTATTGCAATGGTGGGGTGTAACTGTCTTGGATTGAGACACGGTTTCAGGCAAAAACCCAGTCCTTCGGGCAAAAACCCAGTCCTCATGTTTTAAAGTTTGAGAGGATATTGGGTTTGAGATTCAGCTCTAGAGTCAGACACCTAAATGTATGTGCTTGCAGCTGTAACCTCTCTGCGTGAGGTGAGCGTGCAGTGCCCCATAGCTGTGGAATCCATTCTGGTTCAGTGCATCTGCATAATACAGGCAACTGAGATGCTTGTATGTGAGGTAGTGTGGGTTATCTGAGGAGGTATATGCTGTGAGATCTGCTGGAGATCTGTGCTCTTCTGAAGGCCAAGACAAGTATTTTAGGCCAGGGCTGGATTGGTTGAACTTGTCCAGTTTGCAGTCAGGCCAAGAGATGCCCTTTCTAGGGAGAGCAAATGATGTCTCTGTTAGTTGTTTCCAGTGTTCTTATCTCAGCTTTGCCTGAGTTACAGCCTGAGCCAGATGCCCCTCATGGCAGTGCTGATACTGAGGTCAGCACTCATGTGCTTGTGATGGCAGCTGATTCCACGTGTGCTGCTGGGGTTCTGCAGAGGCTCTGGTCAGCAGAGCTCATGTTACTTGCCCCTGCTGTAAAATGTAGATCACTGTTGGAACTATGGGGGGTGTGCAGTGTGGACTTTTTTTGAGGGATCTGCATTTGGAGAGTGAGGAATGGCTGGTGGAGAAGAGGCTAGAGCTCATCCTCTGCCAGACAGCAGCTGGACACTCAGGCAGGTCCCCTGAGATCAGTCGTTTGAAAGCACAACTGCAGTTACCACTCTGCCCTCCCTGGGAGGCTGTTTGCTGTCTTTGAGTTACCTGGAATTTATGAAAGGGTTAAGTCAAAATGGGGTTCTGCCATATTTAGGAATAATTGTGGAGCCTTGTAGTTGGGTTTTATTACTGAGTATAGAGTGTAATGGTGCCGACTGACTTAGGCTGTTTTCTCTAGAGAAAGTTTACAACTTCCTGCTTAGATCTCTTACCCTGCAGCTTTGCTGTCTTGAATTGTCCATATGAAATTTTCCTTATTTTTTCTCTAAAAGGTTGGCAGTGAAGTAGAAGCCCTGAATTTGCAAGTTTGTGCTCTGTTTAAGGAGCTTCAGGAAGCCCATGAGAAGTTAAAAGAGGCAGAGTTGATTCAGAAGAAGCTTCAAGAAAAGTAAGGCTCAGAAGAACTAAAGTTTTGTTGTGGCACTCAGTACATATTTGTAAGACAACACCCACTTTGGGAAACTCACTAGCTCTACAAATATCAACTTAAATGACTGTTTCATAGAAATCCTCTAAAAGATTGCTCTTTCTTTGTAAGTGGAGATGAAAGTACAGAAACACAGCAATTGTCAGAAAATCTGAGCTGCCAACCTAGTTCCACAAATAGAACCTCAGTGCCTTGAAATTTACGATTTGGGTTTTAACCTTTTATGATGTCAAGGCAAATCTTTTCTTGTTCACCACTTCATATAATCAGTCCCTGTTCTAGCTTTAGGGGAAGAAGCCAAGGGACCTGGTTATGACCTTTCTCACATGAACTGTTTGGACTTTTGAAGAGCAATTGTGTAGGTTATAAAAGTGGTTACAAGGCTCTCACTTTAGTTGCTTTCTGTCAAATTCCAGTTTTTTGAGATTTATAGTAGTAAGAAAGTAAGTGTTGGTTTCAACAGCTTTGTTTTCTGCTGGTTGTGTACAGATGGATTTTTGTCTTTCCATGTTCTTCATCAAAATAAGCCTTTAAAGTGAACCACTCAAGGGTTCCTTTTACTGTGTGCCTTGTGTGCCAAACCCAGAACAGGAGGGATCAACCTGTTTTCCTTGTTCTGTCAGGTGCCAAGCACTGGAAAGAAAAAGTTTGGCTGCTGCCTCAGAATTGGAGGAGAAGCAGCAGCTAATATACACTGTCAAGAAGCTGGAACTTCAGGTGGAGAGCATGCAGTCAGAGGTCAAGCTGGAACAAGCCAAGACACATGAAGAAAAGTGAGTGTGACCTGGGTTTGTATTCCAGGAAGGTAGGGAAGTCCAAGGGAGCCTCGCCAAAGGGGAGTTGAATTGGAAATACTGCAGTTGTGTTCTACAGCCTTTGAAACTGTGTTATGTTTGTAGCCTATGAACTAGAAAACTGTAGTCTCTCATCTACTGAACCCCTCACTGAGGAATACTTGAGCTGTCAGCTCGGACTTTTATCTTCCTTTAATCACAAAGTCAAAGGTGGAATAGGGCAGGGTATAACATACAAGTAGAGGAAGCAGAGGAGTGACAACAGCTGTGCCACTCACTAGCAGGGGTAAATGGGGACACATCTTGGAGGGCAGGGACAAGTCAGGTGATGACAGTGCTGGGCAAGTGACATTAATGAAAAGGTCTGTGGTTACTACAATATGTTTGCAGTAGGAGAGACAAGTGTGCAGTGAAGCTGAGGTAAAGAGACTCACTGTTTGTCTTGGCTCCCCACTCCCTCTCATGTGCAGTCCACGTAAGGAGTGTGAAAGTGTCAGGCCAAGCTGTTCAGAGAGGCTGAACTTCCCAAAGGACATGTTTTCAGCTGCTGGAGAAGTTGCTCCTTATCTCTGGAGTCTGTGTCTGGTGATTTTTTTGTCATCAGAAATGCAGATTGATTTGTAGGGAACTGGGGTGGCCTTTTTCGAACATTATTTAGATTGCAAAGAATTAAGTGTTTCAAACTTTCACTTCCTTTCTTGTCTTAAACAGGTCAAGATACAATACCCTGCAGGATTCATATAGCAAACTCCTTCCTCAGCTCACTGAGGCAATGAAACAAATTGATGAAATGAAACTCAAAGAGGTAAACTCATCACAAGAAGAAATCATAATTTATTAGAGGGTAGCGGGAAGGGATGGGAGAATGTATCCAAGATCATATTTGGGCAGGAACTTCTCTTCTACATAATAACACGCAACATAGCAGAGCTGCTCTGGTAAACACAGATCCTGTGCTGTCAGTTAGAGAAAACTTTATCCACACATCAGTAACCTCCATGGTGTTTTCCAGGTAAGGTCTAACCTGCAGTGCAGTACAGAGTTCAGTCCTTAGAGAGCAGTGATAGACAAAGGCACTTCAGTGTTCCTGCAGCATCATCTGTAAGTGTAGGAAGGTAGATCTCTGAAACATTTTTGTATTCTTAAATAGAATGCCTGCCACAGTGGGGTCTTGTTCATAACTGAAGCTCCATGGAAGTGCCAGGTTCTTCTGTATAATTTTGGAAACTAGGAAAAGATAGCCTTTGCAGTGTCCATTAGGGAGTTCTATTTTATCTTGATACAATGCAATTTGAAAGGTCATAACTAATCTTTAAGATAAAATATCAGTCACCACCGCTGTCTTAGTCCAAGTTCCTTTGATAACCTAAAAAATTGGAAGTTTTTCAAGGGCAGGAGGAGGAAGAAGCGAACTTGCACTTTGAGCAGGGTCATATTTGGAATTCATCTCATAATCACAGTTCTTCTTTGCAGCTGGACAGAGTGGATAAAGCTGTGGTGGAACAACTGAAAGCAAAGGTGGAGTTGGCAGAACAAGCCCTTGCTGCAAAGCAGCTCCAGATAGATGAAATGAAGCAGATAATTGCTAAGCAAGAGGAGGACCTTGAAACCATGTCTGTGCTCCGTGCTCAGGTATCAGCTCTTCAGAAACTGGCTACTTCCCCCACCCAATATTCAGAACCCAAGAGGTGTTTAGTGACTTACTCTGGAATACTGAATACATTTCCTCAACTCCAAAGCATAATTCCCTTACTTGGCTTGCTTTGCAGATACCTGCAGAGCCGTTACCACCATATCCTGGGGCTCTGTCGGAGGAACTGTATGCTGGAGTCTGGCACAGCAAACAGAATTTGGGAATAGATGTGTATTTAAAACCACTAGCTTAAGAATTGCTGCATGTGTTTTAGGATGATTTCACTCAAACCAGCTTGTGTTAACAGTGACTAAAAAGGGGTTGCTTCACATTTAAGGCACAGAACTGGCACCTTGGCCCAGTTCCACTGTCTGTGCTACAGATTTGTTAGTGTCACTGGTTGAATCACGTCCTCACTGCTTGTCTGGGCCTCGTTTCTGCCTCTGTACAGCAGAGGCAATAGCAGTGTCCCAGGTAAGACACTCGAAGTATCTTGTACAGAATCCAGGAACTGCTGAGTCTTCTTCACCTTGTGAATAGTGGAGGTCTTGGCAGCGTGTGGGTGTCTTGAGTAGATGACACAGATTTGTGATTTTGATATGTATTATATATTATATATGTATATGGTTCAATCGAAGTTACAGATTCTCAGCATGATTTCATTTCTCTGATCAGATGGAGGTTTACTGTTCTGATTTCCATGCTGAGAGGGCAGCAAGAGAGAAGATCCACGAGGAGAAGGAGCAGTTGGCTGTCCAGCTGGCATACCTGCTAAAGGAGCAGCAAAACCTTGAAGATCTTGGCCGGTGAGAACAGACTTTGGCTGAGCTGCCTTTGGACTGTCCTGTTACTGTGTGTACTGGAGTTGACCAACATTGTCTTGATAGCATCTCAGTAGAAAGGCAAATGACTTTGCAGACATTTCTTGCTTAATTTGAATTTTAAAAGAGGAGAAAAATGAATTGTCTGACTTCTTATTTTAATTTTGTAGTAGAATTTCTGTAAGGTGTGTTAGTTCTTAGTTGGGTACCTTAGCAAGTTCTCACTTAGGATGATTCGTGCTTGCTAAATTCTCCCTGCTGATTCATGTGAGTTTCTTGCATTCTGGCCTCAATTTTAGCAGTGAATCTGCAGCTAATCTTGCTGCTTGTGTGCCAGGGATATCTGCTGCTTCTCGGAGTGGCAGTGGTAAGTGAGTACACAGTTTCAAGTACTGTGATACTTGAATCAAGTTACATTACACATTACTGGTGTACTGAGCCCTTTTTCTGGTATAACTTGCTTTTCTGCTTTAATC